CCTTAGTTGTGGAAGACCATCTAACTTGCCACTGAGCGACCGTTATCCTCCTTTCTTCCCTCTTGATAGCGTCCTTGGAAAGGGGGGGGGGTGGATCCCCAGGAAGTGCTAGAGCGTGCGTCCGGACCCTAATTTTTAGTCTCTCTTTCACTAAGAGATCAGCTGGAGGCATGGCGGCTAACAACAGCGAAGCCTCGTCTGAMMCCGTCCGGTAAGCCYGGATAACCCTTAGAGCAGCAGACCTCTGCGGTCGAATGAGATTAGCCCTGGTCCTAGCGGAGGCTGATACAGGGTTAATCCACACAGGAGCGGCGTACAACAGCTGGCTTTCTACCACCGAACAGAGAAGCCTCCTCTTCCATTGGCTTGGACCGCTTATGTTGGGCATAAGCCTAACCAAAGCGAGTGCTGAGCGTGAGGCTTTCTTGGCAACCGTGTCCACATGTTTTGCAAACGTCAGCCTTTGGTCCAGAATAACCCCGAGGTACCGCAGCTGCTTATTTATCTCTATTGGGTGTCCACCTATCGTCAGGTTCGGGGGAGTATATGCCCATCTCCTAGTCAGCATTACGGCCTCGCTCTTTTGATGAGCGAGCTGAAGGCCTCTACTTGACATCCATCCATCAACCTGCTCCAGAACAGGGTTGATTAAGCCTTCTAGTAAAGATCCCGTTCTTGCCACACCAACAACAGCCAGATCATCAGCAAACCCAACCAGATGAACACCAACCGGCACTGGCATCGTCAAAAGGTCGTCATAGGCAGAATCCCAGAGGATTGGTCCGAGGATAGAGCCCTGGGGAACCCCACAAGTCACTGGTCTGGAAGATCCCTCATCATCCACCAATAATGCGCGCTCTGACAGCCAGGACCGCAGCATCGAGACAAGGTACTCGGGTGTAGATTTCTTTCTGAGGGCAGCTTCTATAACGGGCCATCAAAGCATGTTAAAGGCATTGCTCACATATAGTGTTACGAGCACACATAGGTCTTTGGTACGCCCTTGCGTCGCAGCTACGCTTGCGATCTCGAGGACRGTTGTGACAGCTGTTTCTGTAGAGATGCCTTTCCTGAAGCCAAACTGATTCGGGGCTCTCCTTGTCGCTTGGGCGTCGAAGTGACTCTCTAGTCTTTGAACAAGCAGTCTCTCTAGCAGCTTTCCTGGGGTATCCAAGAGACATATTGGCCGGCAGCTGGAGGAAGAATCTATGGGTTTCCCTGGACCCTTGTGCAGCAGCACCAGCTTTGCCCTCTTCCAGCAGGCAGGAACAACCGCACACCCTGCCACCCACCAAATGACGCCCCTGACTGTATCTATACAGTTAACAGTATATGACGTATACCTACATATTTTATATAAACTGTGAAACACTAAAATCCATAATTGTTGGGAGACTATTATGATTAATATAATATTCGCATTTTTCATATAAACAATTAATGTTTTTTATTCAATAAAAAAAATTGTTAATTTACGCAAAATTATATGGTTTTCTTATTAAAATGTACAGTTGTCCCGCTTTGAAGGAAAAAAATTATGGTCACGTTATGTATAGGTAGTATATAATGTATATACTATATAGTAAGTGAAAAATGCCATAATACAAGTATTTATAATGATTAGTATATTTATTATATTATATTATGGTGCATTATAGAAAATGTTGTAATTTAATGCTATATAGATGAAGTATAAAATAGGACTTGAAATCGATTTTCAATATTGAATCAAAATCAATTTTTTTTTTAAATAATGATAGGTACCTTGAATGAAAGGTATCAAACAATTATATTCAAATAAATAATTCAAAATCAAAAATATTTTTTTACAATATACAATTTGATTTAAAATTTAAATTTAAATTGTATTAATTACAGTTGATTGTTTTTTAATGTTCAAATGTATGCGATATATATCTATTTAATATTTCATTTTATAAGATAAGTATGTGACATAGCCACGCGAACGATGACAGGGCCCTAGTTAGAAATCAAAATTTAAATTTAAAAAATGCATATAGGTAGTTGATAATGTAAATCAAACAAAAAACAATTATGTTCAAAATCAAATTAAAAACCATAAAATTATGATATCAATATACTTATATCATTTCGAATTTAAATCAAAAAAACAAATATCAGCATGTGAAATAGCATCTAATATCAAAATTTTCCATTTGATTTCATGCCATGGTATAAAAAATATAAAATGTGAAATATTTTTTACCAATAACTTTTACACGTTCATGTAACTTAATCACAATAAATAATTATGGTATAATTTATAATCATTAGTTTAAATGATTTCGAAACGTCATTTGGCCACCCTTGTGAATTTGACAGCTTAAATTTAGCAGACAGCGATCTAACCAATTCAACAAATTTGTTAGTAAATTGTTGGACTATGATGTACAACATTCAAAATTGGTAGGACATTATTTTCACCAGGGATCAATTTTGTGCTAAAAACTGACAAGTTCACATTAGCAGTGCGAATTTTCGTTGGAACATGTTGTTACCTTGATGATCTGTATTCGACTATCCTTTCTTTTGTCCCCATTATATATTAATGATTTAATATCATATATATAGTTATGAAACATGAAGAAATATATTGAATACCAGAACAGAGTTAAGCCTCAGTTAACCAGATAATGTATTTTTTTTTTAAATTAGTTTAGTATATTACTTAATAAGAAATGTGATATTTAACATTTACAATTGATAGGTACATTTTCTAATTTTTAAGAATTCTTGTACTTTACATTTCAATATTATTATTGAAATTTAAATTTATTAGTGAAACTGTTCAAAAAACGAAATTTCTAAAAATCGATTGACAAACTTAGGTTGGTACCTGTATAATACTTAAATACTTTAATATATCATGCACTGTTAATAATTTCTGAATTACAGCATTTGTTCTAAAATTATTTTGTTTCAATAATTTCACACTCATAGCTGGGATAGGTAATTCAAAAAAATGATATAAAGATAATTTAATTCAACTTAAAGTGATTACATTATATTATTATTCTCATCCGAAACGCAACCGCATAAAAAAATGATTTTAATGTAATAATATAAAGGTAGGAAGGTAGGTATGTGGAAATCTAATGCAATATTTAATCAAAGCAGTGAATTCCTTTGTTCTCTTTTTATCTCATTTAATGAGAAGATTAAGGACTAAGTTCGGTTATGTTATTCTATACAATTCCTGGTTGTAGGCCCGTTAGGTTAAGTACACGATTGTCGGTTACACATGATAATATTAGATAGATTTGTTATGATATTATACATAGTATAAATAACTATGAAACTGCATTTTTTATTCAATAATCTTCTTATTAAAACATATTATTTTTATATTATATTATTTTAGTAGTTGATTATTATTTTTTTTCTGGCAATCTTTAGACTAATTTATTATTCTGGTTGTTTCTTTTGTAGTTTTGTTTGTATATTTATAGGTACCAAATGCCTTTTTCCGAATATTGTTTTAGATTATCATTGTCAATAATATATTGCCTGTTAATAAATACAAAATACAAATAAATATAATTATTATATATATTATATTATATAATTATTATATATTATTATATTACAAAGGTAACATTACCTCATATAATATGTACTTAAGACTTTCGATAATTGGTACATATTAAAATAATATTAAATCAATATACTAATTTATATAATTAATTAAATAAGAATAAACAACATTACAACAATCTTAACCTCGCTCGACAAAAGTGAATTGCTTAAATATTATTTTAAAATTTAAAAATTTAAAAATATAATCTTGCATGATTGTATTGTTAAATTCGTACAATTTGTTTTTTAATTTTACATATTTTGGGGATATGATGCTTCATAGTAAATGTTTGGCACACAGTGACCTCATCCCTCAACTCCGACAATATACCTATTACAGCTGTTTTAGGTCTATAGAATTAATAGATAGGGTCTGATTTAAGTATGTATTTGGAGATATAAAACAAAATATAGAATTATATTATGTGGCATCTATTATTCAACAGTAGCATTTCTATATACCCCCCCCCAGATTTATGATCCGAGTTATATAAAGTGAATTAACTATTACAGTTTATACATTTAGATCGCCATGTGAACGTTTAAATTTGTTGACTCCACTGTACAGAACTATTCTGCATGATACAAGCTGATTGTCAACCATCCCAACTCTAAACGTTTTCACAAGCACAATATTACAACACTATATTTTTTTTATCAGCTTAGATTTTTCTATTAAACAATATGTTCATTATTTATACACTGAATACAAAATTAAACAATTTTCCTATATTATGTCTTAAAATAATATTGTAAATTCCGAGGCACTCTAAGAGCGGAGGCCATATGCTGTGGTTTATAATCGGCAGCCTAATCGTAAATAATATGTGTTTATAATATTATATGGTCGGACGTATTATCTGATACCAACCATTTTTCGCCAATACCTATTCAGCTTAAGTATAAATCTTAAATCGTGTGTGACAGTAATAAACCGTTGTTATCATCATGGTCTCCAGCGTCGATGGTGACGGGTGAGAGGGTATCATACAACGAGGGGTGGATAATATATTAATAATAATATATTATTATTATTATTACGTCCGTGCCCGGGCTGGTGGACGGGCGACGAGGACGAGAAGAGCGACAACGAGCCACATTGGAAAGGGGTGGTGGGTGGATTGGAGTGAAAACGGTATACCGCGACGACTACGACGGGGTCGCGGCGTTCGGCGGCTGTCGGTCTTCGTCGAGCGGCGTCGGCGCGGTCGATGGGTTGTAGAAAACAACAAAAACGAAACGAGAAAAAAATACACACACATACATATAAACACTGTAATACTACCACCGCCGCCAGCGCTCACGAGGCAGGCGCCGCCGCTACCATGCCGAGGCAACGACCAAGCGAGGCAGCAGCGCGGGCTGCGGCGGCGGCGATAGTCCTCGCACGAACCCCACCACATTCGGGTCGGGCACAATCATGCGTCCCAAGCCGGAGTGCGTCGTTACCGTGACCGCAGTCTCGTCCCCGTGATAACGCTGACGACATCGTTTTGCTCACGGTAACGGTCGCACTACCGTCGACACATTGTTCTGTTTCGTAATCCGGTTCGGTTCGCTGTTACAACAACAACGACAAGATATTTAAAATATTATTATTAAATCGGAGCGACATGACGTCGTCGTCGTCATCGTGGACGACGACAACAACGACAACGCGTAACGATCATTATTATCGCCGTCGCCGCCGCGTACGCGTAACGACAACCGCCGATGACGAAGCGGTAATAAAATTATTATTACAATAGGTATTCGATATTAATAATTAGTTTATTAATTATCAGATTGGTAAGTTTCACGTTAACTTATCAACGCGACGTTAATCAATTTTGTTACTTTCGCGATCTGCTCACCTACGCGCGCGAGTGACGATTGACGACGACGGACGTGGACAACTGGACCCGTCGTCTCGTACGCCGCCTCGGTGGACATGGTCACGCTGAACGTTTGAACCGGTCGACTACAGACACGAAATAATAATATTATTTATTACTACGACCTACAGTGAGTGGCACATCACATACTGTCCCCTCTAACCACCTAAACCGTCAATATTTTCTTTTTTGGTCTGGTTCTCATAAATGTTTTACTGTCGTTTTGTACGACTTAGGTACTCGACTAGAAAAGATTCGTGACAGTTTTTAGTAATCTAAGTATTGTTGTAACTATCATGGCGTAGCTGTTTAACAATCTTTAAACATAAAAACACTTAACACGTTATTATAATATTTAAAAAATAATAATACCTATTATTGAGTATAATATTTATGAATAAGAATGGGCCAACATTTGGTGTCGTGTGGCCAATATTTTCATTGTGAGCAGGACATATTATGCTCATAACTGGTACCTAAGTGTAAATAATAATTAGTTCCAGGCGCTGGAATGCGAAGTCTGTGTAAATATTGTCCCTAGGAAGTCGGTAGAATCTTTAAAATTGACTAATAGAATATCCGGGCCATCATTGTTTCCCGTACTAATGAGTTTAGTTAGGAGTACTGAGTTAGTCTGGATTCTGAAACACACTGTTACCTAGATTTAACCGTTCCAATGTTCTGGCATGTTATCGTAAACCATTAAACTTTCTTTACCAGATGAAATATTGATATTATTTTTTATTATTTTACCTAATTGAAGCCTACCTACGTGGGTAGTTATACCTACTTCTGAAGAAATCTTACGCTTAAGACGGGATGACCCACGGACCCACGTATAATTTTTAGGCTAAAAAATGAGTATAAACTGTCGAGTTTATACTATCTAGGTATTGAAAAATAAATTGTATACCTGTTATAGGTGAAAATACGCGTATAACACTTCAATCTACAATAAATCATGCCGGGTACCTATAATTTAAGAGCAATTTTCCATTTGCATATTTGATTTTCACAATTTTATAATACCCAATGTTATACCGATAAAATAACTTTACTTGAATAACCTAAATAATGTGGTTTTACTCAATTTTATCAGAATTTCATCTACTTACCTAAAATGTTATCATACGTTTTATTAGTTGGTATTAACGTCATGACCAAAATAATGACTGCACATTATCGGCGTGGACAATGTTGTATAATAATATACCTTGTGTTGTAATTAGGTAATTCAATTAGGTATATACATATTTCTCGATATTTACTAACCCCAATAATCGGAAAAAAAATGTTAACCGAGATGGTCTGGCGATAGTTCCCAAAAAATAGTCCTTTTTTCGACAATATGTTTTTGTCTGTGTTTTTGCCTAATGGGAGAGTTCAATGTTGTATATTTACACAGCTACATCAGCAAGTCACAATCCAGTCTATGCTCATCGGAGCAACTAGACATTTGAACAAGGGAGTGCCATAAGCTCCAGGTTTTTTTTGATGACTTAATGGGACCTAACTTTTTAAAAATTTCTTAGGGTGCTCATTTTGACTTAGGGGGTGCTAAGGACCCAAAGCATCTCCCCAAGTTGCACCAATATCAATATTATACTATCATAATAAATCTGAGTTTGAAACCCATTATAAAATATGACGTGTAGGCTATTTATTTATTCATATCTCCTAGTAATTAACATTGAGAAACAATAATTAAGATTTGATAAAAAAAATACTATTCTTACTTCTTAGGTACCTAAATGGTACTACCTACTATTTAGGTAAAATTAGTTCATTAATGAACAATTTAATGTATTTTTTAGATTTATTTCTTAAAATTCATTTTTGTGTAACGTGACAAAAAAGTAGAAAAATATATTATTTCTTTAAAAATTATAGTAAAAAATTGTTTCATACGTTCAGCTCTAAGTAGGTACAAGGAATAGAATTACGAAATATTGTACATTTTATTTTGCTCTAAGTATGTATAGTTGATTGATCTACATATTTACGAGTATATCGATGAGATAGAATGTATGAATACTTTGTGATTATACACCTAAATAGGTTACGTTGTTTTAATCAATATTATATGACTACCAAAACGCGTTTCGTCTACTCACCCAAAATGTACCTAATCATTAGGCTTATTAATTAGTAGATGGCGAGGTAGATGGGCACAGGTACGTCATCACCGTAATATCGACTGCCCAATATTGGCGTGGACAACGTTGTACCTATTATTGTACTATTTATTATAAAAATAATATCTAATTCAATAATGAAAATAGGTACATAATCATTGAAAATAAAATTACGGGTGTTTTGGTAATTCGAAAATAGTAGTTTTTTCCTCGTCGATTGTCGTTTTTCGCCAAATGAGAAAGTATTCAATGATCTATATTTTCACAGCTGCAGCAGGAAGTCGCATTTCAGCCAATTCTTATTCTGCCATAATAAATCTGAGATTGAAACCAATGAAAATATGTTGAGTACTTAGGTACATTTATTTATTCTCCTCTCAAAATATTGAGATACAAATATACAATAATTCCTGATTAAAATTCTTATACGTAAGTAAACTACTATTAAATTAATTTATAATGAACAATAAGTGCTTTTTTTTCTTATCATGCATGTCTGCGTAATACGACTAAAAAAATATTGTTTTGTTTCCTAAATATTTAGCTCTTAGATAAATTAATATAAATGAAAAATTGTATAATTAACCTTATAATTATTTTGCGCTAAGTGTATTTGATAGGTCTATCGCTGACTATCGAGATAGCATAGGTACACGATAACTTCCAATAATTTTAATTACACTATTTATATTTATGTAAAATCAGTGGACAGTGAAAATTTACTCATTTTTCGTCTTATCGTGCATGTCTATTGTCTGATATACGACCAAAATAATACAAAATATTGTTATTCAATCTATTTCTATCGAGATAATATATGAAAACTTTTTAATTTGTCATTAAATTATTTATACCTATTTTTGTGAAATCAATTCATACCTAATGATAAATGAACTAAATTTTGTTTTTGCCACGTCTGCGTACACTAGTAAAAGGAATAAAAAAAATACTGTTCCGTTTCTTTCGAGGTTTCTTTTTATATAAAAAAAAAAATTGCTTCATATATATATATATATGTATTTCTTAGAATTCTATACATATAGATATGTACAGTTGTTTTGTGTATGTAGGTTAGTATTATAGTATTGATTGATCTATTTCTTTTGAGATATTTTCTATTCAATAATAAGCTCGATAATAACTAATAGCTTCAGATCACACGTGGTACCAATATATATTTTATCGTCTAAACTACCCATTGTATAATAGTTTTGTGCTCAATTTTATTTTTTCAAAGCGTCGACTTTATTTACCTTTTTTCTTTGATACGTTTGTTAAAAATTAAAGTTGGTTGCTCTGCTGTAAAAGAAAAAAAAACAGGTATATTTTGAAACTGATTTATTAAACAAAATTGATTCCTAAAATTAAATTTTGTGTTAAAAATAACTTAATTAAGAGTCTTTTATAATATATATTTGTGTTATTTTTATCATTAAATTTGACATTAATCGAGATATTAATATAGGTACTCTATATTGCATAAAAGAAATTTGATTTTGAAAACAAATGAAAAAATTCACTAAATCTATTAATTTTTGTTTTGAATTTACAACTAGATTAAAAATTAATTTTTGACCTTATGGCCTTTTTTAGTCATTGTTTGTTATATTTTTATTTTCGCCTTAATTACTTTAGTACCTATAAAAAAATAGATAAAATTCTGTCGTATATTTTCCTTGTAAAACATTTAGGTAGTTAATAAAATCTTATATCTCTTTTTTTTGAGTTTCAATATCAAAATAATAATTAAAATAAATTTTTATTCATATAATGAAATCATAAACATAATATTAATCTTATTTGGAATAAGAATTATCCAATGAATTATTGGTATATATAGGTAGGTAGGAATTTTCTGAGGTATTCCCTTGTATTGTGGTTTTAAAACAAATTGTTGAAAATTTTTATTTGTAAGTAGATAGGTAGCATCAAAATCGTATTCGTATACCTACTATTTAAACTACTAAAAATAGTTTATTGTTAGAGAATAGCTGGTGTAATATATAAATTTATATCTATTTCATCGGTTTTAGTTTTGATGTAAAACGTAGGTATTGTTAATTTGTATATTATAATTATATAGACGAACTAATGCGTAGGTATGTACGAGTACATTATTTAGAATGATTAGAAATCGATTTTTCATTAATTATTACGCTTCAGTAGTTTGATATTTTTATATTTAAAATGTATAACCTTGTCCATTAGGTTGTTTGTTATGTTTTATATTATACATATATCTGTTTTTATTCCTAAACATTTATTCTTGTAAATCGATTTAATAGTTATGTTATGTAGGTACCTATAGTTTTCAGTTATATAAATTTAAGATGCACTCTGCTGATTTTTGCAAATTGTCCGCAATTTTATAAATTTTAAATGTGTCATTTTATATTTTAGTTGTCATCTTAATTTGAGTCTTAATTATTATACTTTTACAATAATCTACTGCTACCTGATGCCTATTTAGAGGGAAGGGGTTGATACGGTGTATTATATTGACAAACAATGACTTCACAGGAAATAAATTCTCACGCCTTAAAGAGTTATCGGATTTTAATAATAATAATATTTTTTTTTTTTTTTATCTGAAAGAACATTATTTCCTGTATTAAACTCTGATTTTTAATTTTATTTCAATGAATAATATAATTTGCAAAAAAGCTTACTATTGTATACCTACTGTTTTAAAGACATATTAGGTGTAATGTTTAAGACTAAAATATTAATTAATTCTATTACTATTGTAATTCAAATATCTATTAGGCTTATTGTACCACAAGTACAGATTGTTAAATGTTCTTAATTCAAAATAAAAAAAAATAAATATATTGAAAAATGGAGTTGAAAACTTCCTGTAGAATATTACCTTAAATTAGTTAAAAAAAAAAAGTTAGGTTGACTGAATAGAACATAATATCATTATTCTCGTAGAGCTTATTTTTGTGGACAAAATGCCATTGACACCGGTGGTCTTAGAACATATTTTTTCCAAACATTCATTTTATATCGAAATACGAAATTAAATCCCATTAAATTATAATATTTAGTTATACTTATACTTTGTATTTAATTTGGGAGAATCGTGTTCATTTTTAGCCGACGCGCGACGTCTTCAAACAGAGTTCTGAACGACATAGTCTAATAAAGTTGAGTGTACCTAACCTATATAGTCTAATTACACGTATTAATGCTACATACATGCTATATTATTGTTATATAATTAATATTCGTAACACGTCGTATTTTACAAACGAAGTGAATTGTATTTATTTATTTATTTATATTCGTTCGATTTCGTTTTAATTGTATATAATTTTTTCAGTAAAATCTATATTATATCATAGGTATATCATAATATTATCATAACTTTGTTTGTAATGCATAAAATGTTAAAAATAAAAATAAAAAATAAAATTATAAGTAATATTATTCTCGGAAATTACCAAAATATGCATGCTAATCAGGATAAGGATATTTTATATCTATTTGTGACACTTTTCCCATTGAAAATTAAAGGTTGAGTTCGGAATTATTAAATTAGGCTTTATATTTGCTTACAAAATACAAAAACTTAGGTACAAACCTAATAAAACATAATAATAGATAATCCGCGTGCAGTTTATTTGTAAATCATATTTTATGCTTTTTTTGTATAACTATAACTAGACTACAGCGTATTATAATAATACTTAAAACGAATAATCTAGTAGTGAGTTACAACTACCTCCTTGGAGTGAAAAAAGTAGATATTGAGAAAACATTAAGTTAAAAGTACGCAAACATCTATGAAAGTTTTCTTTTGTTCGGTACTTGTAAAAATAACTAGAAAAAAAAAACCACCTACTAAACAATTCCACGTGCCAGGTTTAATACTTGAAATAATTTTTTTTTACATTTCAATATTTAAAGCGTTAACATTGGTCATTGACCAATCTGTACTTGAAAGTCGAAATCTATAAGATAAAAAAATCAGTTTTCTACTACTTAAACTAGCTAATAACGTTTTCTAAACACTTAAACGTTATGTATAATCGATAACAGCGAGTTTATTTGTTCAAAACATTTAAGTCATGTTAAAGGGTCGGTTCGCGATCGGCGATGTAAAAGAGCGTAGGTATAGGTATAATGTTTATAAATACGAACAACAATTGACATTTTCTCCAATTAACTATTAATCCTTTATAAACAGACAACGGAGATTATGAAACGAAATTTCTATTTAACCGGAAAATATATATAGGTAGGCATAGATCATATGTTTTACTGCATATAAAATTATGTGGTACTGGTGACAGTAGGGTACCAGCTTAAGGAAATCGAAATTTCAAATCAAGCATAGTTTAATTGTTATTAACCTCTGTTTATAAAGGATTAATAGTTAATTTTTTTTTTTTTTTTGTAGGTAAGTACCGCGTTAGTTTCTCTGTAAGTTAGTATTATTATCTGTGATTTAAATACATTTTCTGGAAATAAAACCAAAAGTGAAAATCTATATAATTAAAAAAAAATGTATCTTGTAAAAAGTAGATCTACTTAGGCGAGGTACCTACAAGGTAAACTGAAATAAAATAAACTATAATATTATAACTATGATTATTTGGTGATATCTGCGCGTGTTCGCGGGTAATTGTATATCATATCTGATAAAAAAAAACACAAAACATTTCGTAATTTTTTACTTGAATATTGATGTTGTACATTTGCAGAACACTAAGTAAAGCAGCACAATGGCGTCATCGGTAGCCGTATCGTCAATAATATTTTTTACATGCTTGGTATGCTACTACAACAGTCTTTACTGTGACTTCGTCTTCGATGACATTAGTGCTATAAAAGACAACCGAGATTTAAAACCTCAAACTCCTGTATGGAACATATTTTACAACGACTTTTGGGGCACGCCAATGCATAAGGTAAAAATTCATGCAAACATAAATATCTATAAGTACTTATATGTTTGTTGTTTTCATTCGATATAATATAATTTTATTTTATATTTTATATACAAACCGTTTATATTATGTTGTAATATATCATTGTATTTTTCTATATTTATAAGAATACTGTAGGTAGGTTAATAGTTGTTATTTTTATTTCATATAATAGGTATGTTCAACTTTTTTTCAGGAACAAAGTCATAAGTCATATCGACCTTTAACAGTTTTAACGTTCAGATGGAATTACATGATCCATCAGTTGGAACCTATGGGTTATCATCTTGTGAACATACTACTTCATGCCATAACAAGTGTTCTCTACTATAGGTGAGTTTTAATAATTTATTTAATAAAAATTGAGATAAAATTGGACTATGAAAAAAATACTTGCTAAATTAAAGATAGTAATTGTAATTTATCCGCATTTGTAGTGTAAATATCATTAGCTATATTATATAACTTTGTATTCAAAAACGTAAATCTAAGAGTTGTTTCTATAGCTGTGTAGATTACAAAATGCGTAGAATTTGATCCCATACAAAATACTCCTTCCATGATAAAATTATTAATCCCTGCAACAGTATTCGAAAAGCAAAACTTTGTGAAAACTTTGCACCTCCTAAAACCACTACGGGTCCTAGAACTTTGAACGGCTCTATACCTTAGTATTCCTTATAATTTTCATTCATCCTTTTATACAATAATTATCACCCACGCATACATTTATTTTTTATCAAACCGATGTAAGTTGGTACCTACCTATACGAGCTGAGAGTATTAAATTAAATAAGCTTATATTTGTTTAAAAATGTTTAGTGATAAAAGTAAAGATAATATAATAAATAGAACAAAAATTATTCACTAATTATGTTATTGTTAAACTAACAGATCTTTTAWCTCCAAAAATGAAATGAAAAATATTATTTTTAGGCACAAAAGTTATTATTATTTTGTATTTTAATAGTATACGTATACCCATAGTCCTACAAGGTTATATGTGATAAAATAATCATAATCTGCTAATGTAACATAAAAATGAATATAATAGAGAAATAAATGTCGAATTTAAGAGAACGCCACACGCGCATGTGTGTCTCCGTCTTACAAATTCGTAACATAAAAACTGTTTCGCGTAGTTAAGAACCGAGAAAGCTACAGTTATAACTAAGAAACGAAATTTTCACCATATAAAAAGGAGAATTTTGTGATCAATATCGTTTTTGTTTTTTCGATATCACTTTTACAAAAAAGTTCATAATACAGTTTCATAATGCATTATTTTTGTATTTTTAAGTATAAATAATTTTTTTGTAGTTCCGATATCGAAAAAATAAAACGATATTGCACAGGCAAAGTTCTTTTTATATGGTGAAAATTTCGTTTCTTTGTTATAACTTATAACTTATAACTGTAGTTTTCTTAGTTCTTTCTCGTGCTAAACGGTTTTTGCTATGTTACTAGTTACTATGCACTTGTAAGACGGATACAATACATGCGGGTGTGGCGTGATCTTAATGTTTTACTGAAGCAAGACCTTTAGCTGTTCAATTTATTTAATATCGTGTAGACCATATAGGTACAAATTATACTACTTATCTAAATTTATTTTAATGCACTATGGTTTAAATGTATACAGGGTGATTCTTTTATCAAACAACACTCATTATTTAAAAAAGTATTGACTTTTTTCAATTTTTTTTTTT